AAAATCCAAAAATAAAAAGAGAAATATGTAATAATGTAATATATTATAATATATAAACGTTGTATAAATATACTCCACACATCAATCAATGTAATATAAGATATTATCAATTGTGGAGTATATATACATTTCTATAATATAAGCATATTTCAAATATGCGAATGAAACAAAGAGCACGTTTCTGGTTAGATGTCAACTGCTGTATATAAATATATATATAGTAACTGTTATTGTTTTATTTGCTTTGATTATAATAATGATAATGATAATGATAATGATGATAAATACGTGCCTGTAGCTGTAATTTGAAAAAAATGTGGAGAATTAGAAGAGAGTAAATAGACATTCGTTGATCTACAATTTAGTCAATAATATTATGTAAACACACACACTCACATATATACATACACACACCATTATCTAGGCACGCAACATGTTAAAGCTAAATGCAAAGCGCAAAAATGATGTAGATCAAATATTTGTTTTTTTTTTACAATTATGTTTTGTTTTGTTATTCGTCGCATAGTTTGAATGGAGTTGAATATATTTTTCATTTGATTTGTTAAGTTGCTCGATTTGTTAAGTTTTGTTTTCTGATACAGCAACAACAAAAAAAGGAAATCAATAGTATATATATATATTTGCACATTTTTTGCGCTAAAAAAGCTGTTAATTAATATTATTATTTCTAATACAACTAGTAGATATAATTTATTATCTATTATTGTTAAAGCGGAAATATAATGCAACACGTATACATATACATAATATATATTATTCATAAAAAAGCTTGAATTTGTACTTTCAATTTAAATGCCGTATGTATCGATATTTATCGCATTATCAATGCGCGCTGTGTCTCGAAAGTGCTGCACATTGTGGTTCGTTTGAATGAGCAGATGTTCAATTCTCACTTGATGTACTTATCGTTTGCTCAGCTAGTTCGTTCTTCTGAATACACTTATCGCTCTCCCCTGCTGAGTGAGTCAAATGAACCACTTCATAGCCATTAGCAACAACTCTGTTGCGTAGAGCATACAAGCAACAACAAACAGTAAGCAACTAGCCGGCGCTGCGTATTTGGTTTATGTGTGTTCGTTTGTGTGTGTGTGCATATGAAAGATAAGGCTCTCTGCCCACAGCCAACCATCTACTGCGTAGATAAGCGACTGAATTTTAATTGGTTGAAATATGCGAGGATTGTGTTTAAGTAACAAGTAAAATGGCGAGCGCGTGATTTACGTGCACTTAGCTAGCACTCACGTGCATGGCAAATATAGCAAGTTGAAGGCAGCAATAGCATTAGCATCGATAGCAAAAACAACAAACAGCTGACAATGCCGCCATTGCTGCCGTAGCTCACACATTCGCTGCGATTGCTCTACACGCGGTCTCGGTTTCGGTATCGGTTTTGACCCATTAGCAAGCTTCGCGTGAGCTTTCGCTAGCAGTTTCGCTTCAATGTTGGCCTTAATTTAGTTGGTGCGCGTATTTAGACCCTCACAGTTGTTACCGTTGCATATGGAACACGCAAACTTGCAACAGCAACACGACGAATAACTATATAAACTAATAAGAACAAAATATTGTTGAATTTTGTTTTTTTTTCTCTAAGGTATGAACTCAATTCAGCTTTGTGTTGTCCACTGCTTTTTTTTAATCGTTCTGTGCCCTTAACAGTTTTGACGCTCCTACCCAAAACTATAGTTATCGGAATTCTAAAAGTTGCTACAGAAACTGTGCTTGATATATAAATACATGAAATTATATGTACATAAAAATCCATTATATGTATGTACACACATGTAGCTATGTTCATAGAAATGCTGTTTGAGCAAATGCACACATACATATATAAAAAATAGAAAATAGAGCATCCAAATGGCATAAATATGCAGATAAATATAAATAAATAGAGAAATTGAGAAAGCGGCGAAATAGACAACGGGCGAATTGTTTCTACCAACATTGTGTGGGTGTGTATATAAATATACATACATACACACACATGCATATGTATAAATGCGTCATATAAGGATCTTTGTCCGTGTCGTGTGCGGTATAGTAGCGCACGCAATGGTTATATAACCGTATCCATGAAGTATTGCGAGTGCTTGTAAGAGTGAGATAGACGGCACAGAAAGCAATTCTAGTTCCTCAAAAAAATGAATTTTTTGTTGATGATTTTGCACTTTTTCCCAATTGTCGCCGCATTTCTTGGTTGCTTTATTCACCTCACATTATCTCTCTTATGACACTGCTGTTGCTCTCATCTCACAATAATGAAGTAAAATGAAATCTGTGTGCGCAGATTGAAGCCCGCTAAGTTTGATATTATTTGATTGCGATGACTGCGGCGAATGCGTCTCGTCTCGTCTSGTCTGGTGTGCGTTTAGCGTAACGCTAATAAATTAAAAGAAGCAATCACATATTCGCCGCGGTCGCGGCCGCTACCCTGCTTGTGTTGCTCCGAGAACGAGGCGTCGTGTTTATATTGTTTGTAGGGGGCGGACAGGGGTCGGTAGGGTTTGCCTGCACGTTTTTTAATTAACACCAATTAGTGCTTGGCATTTGTCATTGTCGTAGTCAACACTTGTGTCGCATTTTAATTTAAATTAAAGAACGGCCAGACATATATAAGCAATACAAAATCAAGGCCCCCAATAAAAGTTGCCGCCCTCCATTGGCCTCTTTCGCCGTGATTCGGCAGCAGAGCCAATGTGACGTCACATAACAGAACAAAGTTCAGCGTGGGCGCAACTATTATGTAAGCGAGCGCAGGATGAATGGCCGCTCTGCCTGACTGCCGGACTGTCTGACTCCCTGAGTGCCTGCTGGCCTGTCGGCAAACTCGTGTGGCTACGCTCGTGCATTGGGTAGTTCGGGTCGTTGCGCCTTCGGTAACAATTTCGCCGTTGCCGTCTTGACAGTCGGAATTGTGCTTTTGCCGTGGACGAACGTTCATTCGTAAATAGTGTGGAGCAGAAGAGCGAAGAAGAAAGAAAAAAAAAAATAGAATCAGAGCAACACGGGAAAATAAAATAAAAATTAATAAGGCAGGTACCCAACGGAAAAACGACATAACGTCAGTAATTCAAGTAGAAGCTGAACAACTAAAATTTAAAATTTTTAATTTAATTTTGTGCACATTGTTAAGTTTTCGTGTGCGGCGTGCGTGCGTGTGTGTGTGTGTACGCCTGTTTGCCTGTGTGAGCAATAGCTATGTCAAATTTATACATACATATGTGTTTTGTTTTCGCTCTAACCGTTTTCTCTCTCTCTCTCTCTCTTTCTCTTTCTCTTCCCGCTCTCTAACGTGCGCTCTCTATTGCTGTTTCTTCCCTTTTTTTTGCAATTGTATAACATATAATGGACAGCTTCTTACAGAGAGGAAGAAAGCTCCAAATCAACAGAAAGTATTGCGCACGCTAAGGTAAAGGCAAAGGCAAACGCAAACGCAAGTAAAACAACAAATTCAAAATCAGCTGAGAAACCGATGCAGACGCAGCAGCAGCGGCAGCATCAAGAGTAAGATTAGCGAAACGTGAGTTCAAATTGGCATAAAGTGTACTAAAAATCAAGGCGAAAAAAAAAAAACTACGAAGAGCAGCGATTGCCCGACTCGTTTGCTCTCTTTACTCAACCCATCACTATCTGTCGCATATACACAAGGAGTTGTAACCCATCAGCTTAAAAACCCAAAGGCAACCAATTCGCTCTGTAATGGCGCAACTTCGTTCCCTCAACCCCTCACGTACAACAATTCAGCTCGCGTACTATTGCCGCAACGTTGGCAGCGTCTGTAGCGGCAGCCGTAATGGTCTTTTGGGGAGTGTAACCGAATTTTATAGTAGCAACAACACGAACAAGAACAACCACGGTAAATTTAGTCAGAAAAGAAGTTTACATACGATATGCGCCGGCGCCAACGTCAACTCCAACGGCAGCAAAAATGCAGTGCAGCGCTGGCAGAACCCTATCCTGAGCGACGTTCGCTGCCTGCACTCGGCCGCGCAGGACAAGCAGGCGCAGGTGTCAGTTGCCGATAGGACGCAGCACGTCCAATCAAAGGAAGAGGGCGTCAAGCCACAGCGTGACCCGCTCGACGTCAGCTTTAACGATCCAATTGCGGCATTTAAGAGCAAAACAACATGGGAGCTGGCGCGCGCCTATTTGGTCTACATGATCTGCAGCAGCGAGAAGATCGTTGAGCATAATATGACGGTAAGTGGAACGCAATCAAAACTTTTCTTTATATGTTTTTAGATTTAAGCATATTACTTATTTTAAATTTTCTTCACTCTGGTTTGTTCTTAGTACTTGCATATTTTTTATCCAATAATTTGTCCCAGTTTCTATCTTTGTTTGTCTTTGAATTTCCTTGCTTGAATTGTATGTAATGTATAGTTCCCAATTATTGTATATATTCCAATAGGAATGTTTCCATCTTCAAGATATTCTTATTAGTCGCTTCTAAATCTAAGTGTAGCTTAACTGTAATCTTCTCTTTTTGTGTTTCGACTCGGCGAGTGCTCCTTGTGTTCATTGAAATATATGACAGCTACATAAAACTCTCTTCGCTCTGAAAACGTAGCACAGTTAGGTCATAGCCCCTGCATATCCTCTCAGCATTGTTGCTCTGATCAGCAACAACAACAACAACTACAACTAAATCCCAAGCTTTAGTTATGCTCATTAGCAGGCTATTAGCAGATGCTGTGCCTTGCTCACATTCAGTTTTTATTCATATTTTTCTGTTCCCTCTCCCTGCGCGCAGTCTCTCTCACTCTCTGTCTCTCTGCGCTGCTTTGTTAATCTATTTCGGTATTGCCATTTGTCATACCTGCTGAGCCAGCTGTCTTGTCTTCCGGCCTGTTTTCCCCCTCCTGCTCTATCTTTGCCTCCTCGCTGCTTGTTTTATAGCTTTTCAGTGATATTGCAATATTTCGTATGAATGCAGCTCTAATTGTCGTCTCAATTGGCCTGTGTGGGTGCCTTTCTGTTTGTGTGTGCGAAGGGGATACACAGCGTGTGTAAATGAATATTTAGTGTGAGTCAACGAGCGGCGCAAATCAAATGCATTTTTATGACCTTGTTGGAGGCCGCTGCTGTTTACTACGCGACCAGCCAAGCAGACGCCAGTTGCGTCAGTCAGTTCGTCGGTCAGTCGGCCGGTCACATACACTAAAAATCTGTGCATGTGTATGTAAAAACTTAACAGGCAGGCCCCCAAAAGTGCGCCAATCAAAAGAGCCCAAAGCGACGCGTTAGTTGCTGCAGGCGGCACTGCTACGTCAGACGTCTTGTCGTTCCCGCTTACTGCTATACATATGTACACATGCATATGTATGTATGTATGTATGTGTGTGTTTTTTCGCTTGTAAATTCTGCAAGTGTATTTGCCTATCGATTATTATTATACAATTTGCGGTTTGATCGATTAAATGGAAAATTTATTAACATGAATTCTAGTAATTGTAGCGCTGTGTGTGCATATGTACATATGTGCATGAAAGTGTGTGTGTGTGTGTGTGTGAGTGTGATTCTATCTGCCTGTGTGTGTATGTATGCATATGTGTGTATTTGTTGGCAACTTAATAGCCATGGTAATTGCTTTTCGTTGATTTTTGTTGCTTTTGTCTTGTTTTTTGATTTTGATGTGTGCTATTTCTATTTTTATTTCCCATGTCTGTGGGCAATATGTTTGGCAGGTCTCGTGACATGGTAGTGTCACAGCTCAAAAGTGAACACCTGTGCTAGCTGTTCACTAAGCACACAAAAAAAGTGCTAAGAGCAGCAGTGCCAATTTTTATATAACCGGTTTTTAAAAAGTACTCGTACTCATACACACACACACACACACACACACACACAACAGACACAGCAGACACATGGAGGGAAGCTTTTTGCTGTTTAATTTGGCAACGTCCTCTCTCCCCCTTTCCTCTCTGATAGCATTTTTGAGGGTTAACCGGTTCGCTCAGTTCATCACACGTGCCTGTCAAAATTAAAAGCTTCGATAATTTTGTTTGTAACTTGTACTTTTTTTGATGTTGTTTTACGAGCTTTAACGTCGACAGCTGCCTGACGTACAGCAATTGAATTACTTCAGAAAGCACTCCTATACATACATAACTCAGCGAGCAAGCTTGAAGCTACCTAAGTACCTTCCTTCCCCGTTCTCTTTCTCTCTTGCCTCTTCTTCTTCGATATTCGCCGTAAAAGTTCGTTCGCATTGTGCTGTGTCACGACACTTGGCCTTGACACGATCCGTTTGTCATTGTTGTTGTTGTTATTTATTTTAATTTTATGTACGTTCTGTTGCTCTGGCGCGCTCTCTGCGGCTGCTCTCTTGCATGTGCCTTTGGCGGCATTCCAAATGATTTATGTCGCGTGAGAGTAAGAGAGCGACAGATGATTTGAATTTTAGCCGCCTCGATCTTTGGCCAAATGACGCACATATATGTGCGAGCGAGTGAGCAATAGTCTTGTCGTTTTAATTTTTGCATTTTGAAAATATTAGTTCTATTTGATATGTGATATTTTTTCTGGCTTTTGCGATTTTCCCTATTTATCCCCCTTCCTCTTTTTTTTTTATTATTTTGTTTTATTCTAAAAATCAATATCTGTATATACAGAAGAAGAAAATAAAGAAATATACATATATATATGCATATATTTATATCAATATATAAAAACGAAAACAAATCTTTAAAATTTCGTCTAAAACAAAAACAAACAAAAAACAAAAATATCGCAGCTTATGAAATGGACAAACAAAATGTTGGGTAAAAAAATATTTACAGCATTGATGAAGGCAACATTCTATGGCCATTTTGTCGCTGGCGAGGATCAGATCAAGATTATACCCACCCTGGAAAGGTAATTGTATAACAATTATGGAACCCACTAACGTCATATTTTTCTCTTTTTTTCTTTTCTTTTCTTTTTCTTCCACTCTACCTTTGCTTTGCTGTTGGGCTATGCGAAAAAAAAAACACAAAATAATCTAAATCTAAACAAAAATACGCTTATTTAATTACAATCAATACTATTTGATGGCTATCGATTATTTAAACCGCTAAACCATATGCTACGCATGTTTCTTTTTACTGCTCTCGACCAATTTAACCGTTAAACGATGTACTACGCTTTTTATTTATCAAAACAAAACTATACTATAATCGACAATTATTATAATATGATCGATAACTATCAACAATTAACGACGCGTTTTTCTATTTTAAAACAATCGATTCAATCGTGCTGTTTATCGAAACAATCAACATTGCATTTAAATTAATCGTTACTTTGCGCTATTTACTTTTTGACTAAAATCGATATGTCGATAATCATGTGCAATAACTGATGTCTTACGTACTGCATTATCACAAAATATTGTTTGAAATCGAAATGCGTTTATCGATAACCACAACCACTAAACGATCAACCGAAAAAACCCTGTTACTATAATGTTATCGGTTCATATAACCTATATGTTTTGCCTTTTAATGGCAATCGAACTAAACGCTATGCTCTAATCGATAACGACAACCGATAAACGATTTAAATGAATAGCTCCTAAAAATCGCTCGTAACGTGCTGGGCAGCAAACTGTTTGTGATGCTGATGAAGTCTACTTTCTACGGACACTTTGTGGCCGGCGAGAATCGCCACACCATTGTTCCCACCCTTGAGAGGTGCTCAAATCGTATTACTTTATTCATATAATCGATAACGATAACGATAACGCAATCTCTTAACAAATGCCATTCGAACTAAGAAAAATGCAGACAAACCTAAGCACTACTATAAACGCCAAACTAACTAACTAATGCGTCATTTTTCCTGGCATGCTGCATGTGGCACACTACCTTGCCACGCCCTTGCTCCCCACTCACACCGATCCAAATGTGCTTTACACCTGCCCTACAAACAAGCCCACTTTCTGTTATTTGTTGCTCTGTTACAAGCCGCCAATCTAATGCTCGTTCTATATTTGACTCTTTGTCTTTGCTCTAAACTAATTTGCTGCGCGCAGACTTCGGTCATTTGGCGTCAAGCCCATCCTTGATTATTCCGTCGAAGAGGACATCTCCCAGGAGGAGGCCGAGAAGCGTGAAGTTGAGTACGTTGAACCATTGCAACCATAAACGAGGAGAGCTCCGCTCACATCTTGTCTTCCAATCGATTACAGATCTTCCGTTTCGAGCGCGGGTGATAATGAAAAGGATGCTGGCGCCCTGCCCCAATATCATGTGGATAAATCTTTCGCTGATCGTCGCTACAAGGTGAGCAGTGCTCGCACCTATTTCTATCTCAACGAAGCGACCTGCGAGCGCAACATGGAGATCTTCATCAAGTGTTTGGAGGCTGTGTCGGGTAAGCTCGAACCTATCTAAAGCACCATATCAATAGGAGCAAGAGTACTTTAAGTGCATGTGCTATACCATCCAATTTTGCCACCTAGTGCAATCGATTTTAATTTTCGAATCATCACTTTTTCTCATTGGTTTATCACATAACACTTATTATTTGACTAGAGAATTGAAGGATTACATGTTACTTATTAACTACTATTGAAAGTTCAAGGCTGTCATTTTGCTCTATAGCATTTGCCTCATAAGAACGCATTCTTAAAATGAGCTAAAAAGTTAGGGGAAGTAGGTAGTAATTGTTCCAATTCCAATATATGCCGTTAAGTTTATCTTTAGAAATTGCAAGGAAATATATCTTCTTCGGGTATCTCTTCTCAAACTACAAGCGAATATTCGACTCTAATGCTACCCTACAAATTTCACTTAAATGTTTCATTTCCAAGTTTTCCCTTTGAGGTTATCTTCAGAAATTGCTAGGAATTATTTTCGCTTTATGGATGTCCCAATAAATTACAGGCAAGTGTCTCAATCCCCTCTATGATTTGACAGACAGATAAAACTTAAAGCACATCGTAAGCAAACGTTTCATTCCCGTATCATCCGCAATTAGCCAGACAAGTTAGAATCTCCAATCCATTCCATTCAATGCACCCAGTTAAGGTCAGAGTTGAATAAACGGACTTAATAACCATATGATAATATTTATGAATTGATATAAACCAAATATTTAAATCTAATTACATTCGTCACGGAAACGTGAAAAACCGGGAATGAGTCAGAGAAGAACAAACCTGAATTTAGGAGCGGTTTCTTTAGAGGGGTTACGCTTGATTTTTTAATTATTTACACAGAGGGGAGATTTTTATTTATTATTATTTATAAAATACAGTCGACTCTTGTTACTTTAAACCTGCGATATTTCGAACCTCTCATCCTACAAAACCTTTTTATATTTCGAATTATTTCCATAGATTTTTATGCACTCAGTAATTTGAACTAGAAAATCATTGCCTTTCTCAGTGTTCTCCAAAGCGATGATGAAACCGCATATCAGGCACTTTTTCTCCTTAAAAAAGTTATTGAAGCGTCTGATCAGCAAACTCGTATAAATGAGTTCCTTGCAAAGATGAATTAATTTGAACATAACTACATTACGAATATGTAAAATACCAGCGGTTAAATAAAAATCCTTGATAATTCGAAGTTTTTTTATTTTCTCTAAAAATTTCGAACCATTTAATATTTCAAGCATTCGATAATTCGTAATATTTTAAGAGTCCCTTGAACTTCGAAATAACGAGAGTCGACTGTATATATGTACATAGTATAGGCCATGTTTATTTTGTTCTCTCCATCAAGTGCTTTATTTATATTTATTTAATTTTCCCTCTAGCTGACTTTTTTCTTTTGTACAATTGCAAAAACTTTAATCATTAAATATTGATTTTGCATTTTTCTTTCTCACAAAATAACGTAAACAAAAAAAAAAAAACAAAAAAAAAAAAATAAATTAATTAAACAAAAACCGAAACGAAACGAAATGAAACGAAACGAAACGGCACCCTACTAACGCACTCTCTATGTCAAAATCGATTAACACGAAACGAAACGAATGGGATTCGAACTAACCTATGAAAAAATCAATGCCTTAACTTAATGAAACGCTGTGGAATTCAAACTAACCTATTAAAAAATTATTTGTGTGTATATATATATATAAATGCGTGTGTGTGTGTGGGGCAGATGACGATGCAAAAGAGCCACGTCCTGCCTCCGACGGTAAGAGGTCTTAACTAACATTTCTGACTAAAACGATAATAAACAAATTCGCAAAAAAAAAAARAAAAAAAAAAAAAAACAACTTGAAAACTCGAAACTCGAAACCAAAATCACGTATTTAATACATATTTGGAATTTGCTTTGTTTGCTATCTTTAGTTTGCTTTTGTTTGTATTCGTTTTATGTTGCGTGTATTTTGTAAACATTGTATGTATGTGTATGTGTGTATGTGTGTGTGTCTATGTATGTAGTGTATCAATTGCATGTAGTTACGGCTGATTGCCAGACTGTGGCACGCCTTAAGTCGCATCGCCTCAGCTCACCTTCCACTCACTCACTCACTCACCTTTCGAATGCTTCTCATTTCCGAACCAAATACGCAACAGGCGCCACCTTCGGAACCGGCATCACCGCCATCAAGCTAACTGCCCTCGGCCGTCCCCAGCTGCTGGTGAGTGTTTATATATATGTCATCTAATTGCTAGCTCTATAACTAATTGCCCTCTTATTTTTTTTTTATTTTTTTAATTACTTTTAAACTCATTTAGTTGCAACTGTCGGAGGTCATAATGCGCACACGTAAATATATGGAGGCACTTGTCGGCGGTCAGGGCAATGTGTTGACCCATCATAAGACCATCAAGGATCTCGAGAAGTATTATGCCAGCGTCGGCGACAACAAGGATGTGCAGCAGTTCTTAAAGAATGTCACGTCCGATAAGGAGGGGTGCGTTAACTACCAACTAACATGTCAGCTGCTCGCTTCTGCCTTGTCTCTCGATTGCAAAATTAGTATAGCTTAAGTGGTGTGCGACCTCAATTGTAGCATATTTAGTCAGGGTCTGTGAACCCAACAGAAATGGGAATTCAGGTTAAAATGATATCGTCCAGGTCTATGTAACCCAGTTGGGGGAATGAGTCGAGAGCTAAAATTTAAATTATATATGTAGCTTGAGATTTTTGGGTTAATACGTTAAGCTATTGATTGATTTGCAGTTTTAGGCATTAGTTGTATTTGGAATACCTTCCCCACCTATCAATGTTAGAGTGATAGGTAGAGCAGCTCTTCCAATGGGCTCAGAGCATCTTCAAGTAAAGCTAGAGCACTCTTGCTTTGAGTTTTACATGTGTATGTGATATAACTAAATGCTCCTTTATGTCTAACTTCGTCTCCTTTAGCATATTGCATCTGTTTCCCTGGTCTGGTATTGTCGATGAGGACTCACAGCTGAGCGACACATTTCGCGTGCCCGATCCACTGACTGGTCAAATGCGTCGATTGATCTCACAAATATCGCCCAAAGAGGAGGAGATGTTTAGAAACATGATTCGTCGTCTAAACACAATTGTAAAGGTGAGTTGACTACTATATCAAATATGTTGTTATAGATGTGAATTGTAAGTTCCTATCCTAATCCATAGACTGCCGCTGAGCTGGATGTGCGCATTATGGTTGATGCGGAGCAAACGTATTTCCAGCCAGCTATAACGCGCATCACTCTGGAGATGATGCGTAAATACAACAAGGACAAGGCCATAGTATTCAATACCTATCAATGTTACTTGCGTGAGACATTCCGTGAGGTACAAGAAGAAGAACGCCAGTTCAGCTTGCCATGATACTAACCATACTTTCCACATTGCAGGTGGTCACAGATTTGGAGCAGGCAAGCCGACAGAATTTCTATTTTGGTGCCAAGCTGGTGCGTGGCGCTTATATGGAACAGGAACGTGCGCGCGCCCAGGCGCTGGGCTATGCTGATCCCGTGAACCCCAGCTACGAGGCCACTACCGAAATGTACCACAAGACCCTGGCAGAGTGTCTCCGACGCATAAAGGTAAGAGTCTCTATTGGCTTAGCCTAGACTCCAATGTGACTTAAATGTCTTGTACGCTCTCTGCAGGTACTGAAGGATTGTGGCCAAGATGCACGCAAAATTGGCATTATGGTTGCGTCCCACAACGAGGATACGGTTCGCTTTGCCATCGAGAATATGAAATCCATTGGCATCTCACCAGAAGATAAGGTCATATGTTTTGGTCAATTACTGGGCATGTGTGATTACATTACCTTCCCGCTGGGTAAATACATAAATTGTGCGATTTTGGTTATCTCACGATGATTAACACCTGCCTCCATTCATGTGCCCAACAGGTCAGGCAGGCTATTCGGCCTACAAGTACATACCGTATGGACCCGTTGAGGAGGTGCTGCCATATTTGTCGCGTCGTGCCCAAGAGAACAAGGGTGTGCTAAAGAAGATCAAGAAGGAGAAACGATTGCTTCTCAGTGAAATACGTCGTCGCCTTTTCCGCGGTCAGCTCTTCTATACGCCGAAGGGCAACTATGTACCCATCTAAAGTGGATGCACCGACAGATGAAGACACGCCATCCATTATTT